TCCGCCATGACTATCTTTGTACTTCCAGTAAGATAGCTCTGAGCTAATAATAATAATAGATTAAGCTCAGTTCCCAGAAATAAAAAAAATGACTCATAGCAGGCAATTAAAGGGCAAATAAGTATTAATCTCTAGCCACCCTGAATAGGAAGCAATAAATATGGGCAAAAAGGAAGCCTTGATTAAAGGTAAGTAGTTGTAAAAAGTCCCAAAGGTGTGGATAAGCTGGAACTCCTTAGCCAAGTTGCCAAAGAAAATTTGCCACAAATTAGGTGTGAAAAAAACAGCAAAGAAGCCAGAAGAAAGCCATGTCACAATACTTGACTTTTTTCTTTCTTTTTAATGAAAAGGGTGTGAGCAATTCTTTGGAATAATTACAGAGAAAAGGACTCATGTGAAAGCAACCATTGTCGTTCTATTTCCTGTGCTTTCTGCACTTCTGGGGTAAAATATGAGAAAGAACTCATGGAATTTAAGTGCAGAAACACCAGATATAGAACATTCTGCTGGTGCACTTTAGTTTATAGTCCCTTTGATACATCATTCCAAGTGCAAGAAGGAAAGGCAGGAGTCACGTGCCATGTTTGCCCCTTCACCTCTGTAGAACATCTGAACCAGCTATTTTCCATGAAAGAGAGAGATCTGAAATATTATATCATTGGTATAAGAAATGGTTTTGCATGTGGCACTACTGGCTTGCTGATTGTATAAATACGGTATATTTCTTTAAAAAAACATGGTGGGTGTAGCAATATAGGATTTGAGTGAGTCACTCTTTGGATGGAGGGTGGGTAGCTGTTGCACTAAAAAGGGCTTATTTTAGCTTTTTCGGTAAGAAAGCATTTTAACACAGTGATTTTTCTTTATTGTAATTTAGTTAATGTCAATGGGTTAAGCAGGACCCCATCTCTCCAAGCTACTGGAACAGAGTGGGACTCCCCTGCCAATTTTTTTTTGAAAGCCTTGGGATAGCTTCATAGCTATCTCCAAAATAAATGTACAGACCTGAGCACATGTGTGTGCAGCCATGCTCATAGACACACACAGGCTGGGAGGCCTTGGAGAGTGGTAGAGAAGACAGGCAAACATCAACGTCAAGCCAACTAATAAAGTTTTAATGGTGAAATAGGGAGACTATGGCATGGATAGCTCTTGGAACAAGGGATACTGGCAGAGGAGTGGGGTGGGGGCATCCAGTGAGGTAGGCAGGCCTCCCTGAAAGCTGGTGTTCATGGACTGGGCATGGCTGCATCAACAGGCCATGAATTTTGTGCACCAATGGCCCCAGATTCTATCTCCAAATAGGGCTGAGAAGAACCACAGCTTGGAAATGCCATAGTTGTAGATAATACACTTTGATGGGCTAGAAAACTCCCATACCTGGTATGTTGGAGAGCCACTGCGAACCAAAAGTGACAGTCTTCAGCCAAGTGGACCAGGAGTCTTACTCAGTGTGAAGCTCTTTCCTTTCAGTGGATATGGATATATCCAGTATCCATTTGGGTATCGCCAAATGAATATGGTGAGCACAAATATATGTAGAATTTCCCAATAGCTCTCTCTCTCTCTCTGCAAGGCAGTCCAAGATAGGTGGTGCAGTCCTAGAGACATTTTCACCATAGAACAGGACAGGGACCATCCAATGTTCGGGGTTTGCAGTGGGCCGAAGCCACAAAACGTGGTGAACCAAAGCTGATCTGTGTCACAAGATAATCACTGTCTCGTGGCCACTGCACCCTCACAAAGCCTGTATAGACCAGGTTCAGCAACCATAGGGCTTCCTCTGGGGTTTTGAATTCCTGCAAGAACAGCTTTTCTTGGCCAAGGGTATCCCCATGTGGTCAAGCTCCTTTCAGGCCACCCAGGCTTTGGGAATGTTTTTCTAAAGTGCAGGCATTTTTGGGTTTGTGCCTCAGTGGAATCAGGGTTAGTTGCCAGATTACAGACTATTAGAGTCATATGCAACAACAATACAATTTCCTATTGAATTTTTCCCCTGGATGGATCTTTAAGCATTTGGGTTTCCAACACCTGCAGATAGGTTTGTTTATAGTTTATAAACTGGTTGTTTATATTTAGGAGGAAAGGAAAACAAGCAGTAAGAATAATACCGGTAGGTACTTTAGTTTTCGAAGTTTATAAACTGGTTGTTTATATTTAGGAAGAAAGGAAAACAAGCAGTAAAAATAATAAATAGGTACTTTAATTTTTGAACTAAAACTCCCAGAAATCCCAGCCAGCACAGCAGGATATGAAGGCTTCTGGGAGTTTTAGTTCGAAAACCTCTGGAGACCCAGTGTTGGGAACCATTCCTCTAGGTGATAAGGGCCAGGGAAGATAAAGTTTGTTCCACTCCACTTTGCTCTCTTTCGAAACTGAACCTTTAAAAGCACAGTCCCTTCCTAAAGGATTTCACCACCCATTGTGGTAAACTAAACAGTTCACAGAGGTTAAACAAGTGCAACACACATACAAATACCCCCCACTAAGCCAATTTGGAATGGATGAAGATGGGTGTCCATGCTTTGAAGCCACTACATGTACATTTTTTTTCTTCTTCCTCCTCCTCCTCCTCATATGCCTTTTGTTCAGCAGCATATCAGTTATCTAAGTCCTCCTCCTCATATGCCTTTTGTTCAGCATATCACTTATCTAAAATTTCAGCCAGTGCCTAAAGATCTGGTAACTCTAATTCAAAGAAATTACCTTATACTACCTTATTTGGTCCAGGCAATCCAAAATACCATATTCTGTGCTGGAGATCTGCAGGAGAGACCTTTCTCAAGGTCCTAGCATCTTCACAAGCCCATTTGGTGGGAACTTGAGAGAGGGCTTCTTAGTAGCTGCGTCCAGGTTCTAGAACTCTCTGTCTAGATCACCCAGGTAAAGATCTGGTAACTCTAATTCAAAGAAATTACCTTATACTACCTTATTTGGTCCAGGCAATCCAAAATACCATACTCTCTGCTGGAGATCTGCAGGAAAGACCTTTCTTCACAGGCCCATTTGGAGGGTTCTAGAACTCTGTCTAGATCACCCAGATTTGTTCCTCCCTGCTGTCCTTTTGCCAGCAGGCAAATATCTTTTTATGCAGACAGACCTTAGGGAATTAAGTTTCAGAGTTGTTTTGTCTTTTTTTTCCAGAGAGTGTCATTTCAGCCAGGAAGTGCCAATAAACTCTAAATAAAACTTGTAACAGACTCAGTGTGATGTAGTGGATACAGTCCTGCGCTATGCCTCGGGACATCTGAATTAAAAAATATCTCCACTCAGCCATGAGTTGGGGAATGACAATGATAAACCATTCTTTGAACATCTCACATACCTCAAAAACTCTTTCAGATTTACCATAAGTTGGGAGCAACTTGATGGCACACAACATAACCAAGTTCCTGATCTGACCTGGCTTCTCAGTTGAGGCAAATTTCTGCTTAGATGCAAGCTGAGCTATTTGCATGCTGACTGACTGCCTGATTTCCTGCCAATCTTGTTGCTCTCCCTTCTCTGATGAATCATATGCCATGCCTTTGGGTTACCAGCCCCGACACCTCATAAAAACCCTCTTTAGTTGAACAGAGAGGATGGAAACAGTGTGGAAGGTGTTACCATCCCAGAGTCTGCAAGACAGATTGTGAAAAGTGTACAGCAGTCCCATGGAGGTAAGCATTGGACCCATTCTTCTGGGCTGCATAAAAAGAGAGAAGGTAGTTCATGCTAAAGGTTCACAAGTTCTAAGAATTGGGTAGATTGACTCACTGTACTGGGATAACTGGAGGGTGATATTCATTTTACAGCCCTTCGTCATGCGCTGGGCAAGAGGGCAGCAAGTTCATAGTCACTTTTAAGATGAATGGAACACAATGCTCTTCTTCCTCTTTTTCTTCTTGAGAAGAATGTGCTTTAATAGTAGAGAGAAAATTGTCCCATTCTCTCCACCACAAGAAGAAGCCCTCCAATATGTGAAAGCTATTTATGCAGGCTAGATGTAGAGGAAAGACCCGTAATTCTACACACGGTCCTTTGAGATGAAGTCAGTGGGATATTCTTCTGAATAAATCTGTGTATAGGAGCGTCCAGTATGGTTTTGGTTCCTGTTTAAAAGCTTGTGCTGCTTTTGAAAATAGATTCTGTTGTTTTTAGAAAGCTTTTCTCTTCCATTGCTGCCAAAAGACACCAAACCAATTACTTTTCCAAATATTGCCTAGACGAATGACTTGTGCTGCAAAGAAATGATCACGTTCCAGATATACTTCAGGGCAGCACAATAGTTAAAATCTCTGTCTCTCGCCCCCCCTTCCGTTGCCCCCACCCATACCAAACCTCTTGCTCTCTTCTTTAGAGCTAGTTAATGCAACATTAGGTAGGTCACCCTGGCCGTGTTCCCAGAATTTAACAGTGGGGGCCTTGTGAAATGCTAAATGATGTGCATAACAGCATTCAGGCCCTCCGTGAGCCGAGAGCCCGTCAAAACATTTGCTGCTTTGAAAATGTGCTCTTTAAAAAGAAAGAGAGAGAAGGAGAAAAAGAAAAGAACAAGGAAAATTACAGGACATATGGAACTTATTAGGATCTTTGCTGAAGTTCAGGCAGTCCAACCTGAGAGAATTTTTACAGAACTGGAGGACACAATCCTATCTTTGAGCCATGAGCATCCCTCACAATCTCTTCTTTTGCAACATGGGCACATACAAAAGCCACAAAGGATCATTCATGGGCATGGGTACTAGATTCTTTCTGAAACCTTACATGCAGAGCTAAACCCAAAAAACTAAAAAAAAGAGAGTCCATTATGCTTACTTACCACAGTTGCCCTGCATTCCTTCTTCCTGGCATTCTTCTTTTTGCTCATGGTGTTGATCCCTAGCTCTCGGAGTGATGTAATGTAGCAAAAGCCTCGGATTCCATGATTTCACTGCTTTGGATTCCTCCACTTCTGAGGATATTGGCAGCAAGGGTCAGCCCGTCTCCTTGGAGATGTGAAAGATGGCTGCCATAGAATGAACTGCAGTTAGGCACCACCTGCCCGAGTCTTGTGTCTGACCATTCTGATCTTATATCGTGAGAAAACAATAGCAAAAATAAAAGTGGCACAACATTTTTTTTTTTACAATGAAACAACCTATAATTGCCATTGATGGAAAGAATGCTAAATAGGAGGATTTCAGCAAGGCGATCCTTTGGTAGTGTTTTTGCTGCTATGTGCTGTCATGTCACTTCCAATTTATGGCAATTCTGACTGGGTTTTCATGATACATGACATGTTGAAGGAATGGTTTACCATTGCCACACCAGTGAGCTTCCATGGCTTAGATTTGAACCTGTGATTCCTAAGTCCTAGATTAAGAATCTATCCACTATACCACAATGATTTTCTGTTTAGAGAATAAGACAGGCAAACGAAATGTAACTTGCTGGAATAGCAGCATGTTGAAGATAAGATTTCAATAAAATTTGCCAGCTGCTGTGAGGTAATTAGCATTAGGAGAGAAAAACTCCCACCTTTACTGAATTTGCAGCTGGGAAGATTTAAACCTTGCTTTTCCATCTAGCATTGCTGACGACCATTGTACTTGCTCCCTCCACCTTAATGTCTGGTATTTATTTTAACTGATTTTTTTAAAAAATAGTTTTTTTGTGCTCTGTGTAGTTAGGCTCTCAGTGGTAGCACACATGCTCTGCCTGCCAGAGATATTACATTCTCACTAATGTATCATTATTTTTAACTACATCTGCATCTTGACCCATCCTCCAGGTCACACAGTCCTCCTTCCCATGTTTGCTCTCATAACACCCATGTGGAGTGGGCTAGGCTAAAGGCATAACATAGTTCATGATGGGTGCGAGACCCTGCACAGAAAGTGGATTGACAAGAGGCCAACAGACAGGTCACGTGATACATCTAGCCCTCCACACTCTGCCAACTTGCAGCATCTGCTGCCTCTCTTTGCCTAATAGTAGGACCAGCTCTGGCCGGCTCTTCTGTTTGTATGGTGCAGATCTCAGACCCAACCAAGAGCCTATTCACAACAGAAGGCAACAAAAGTGGAAGCGCAATCTTTCAATCTGCTGTTCCTGAACTTCTTGAGCAGGAGTAACATAAGCTCCATGTGGTCCTCAGGTAGGATCACCATATTCCAGATACCCAAATCTGAGATGCCTAGTTTGTATATTATGCATATCTATCCATTAATCAACTTGACATCATTTGAATATAATGCAGAAGTGCATTGTGTGCAAATGATGCACATTTATTACTACATTGCTTTTCTGCCGCTCTTGGTGACATTTACCTCCGAAGCACACCCCCATTTCCATAGTTCTGTTACTTTCTACGTATTGTTTGCTGTTGACTCTATCAAATGCACCCGACCTGTCTGCAATGACAGCAGGGTGTTCCAACACTGTAATATTTCCCCAGGAACTGAGAGGCACTGACTCACTATGGCGTCTTTTACCGAAGATGTCTATCAAACTGCTCCATGATTTTGTGCTTTGAGCAAACATATTCCAAGACAATAAACAGGAAGCTTATTTCTCTCAGAGGTGAAAAGGTAAAGAACAATGATTTTTGCCTTCTATCTCCATTTCCATAATGATTAAAGACTTTTGTTGTTGTTGTTAAAATTAAAGTTGGAAATCCAGGCCAGTTAATGGCCTACAAGAGAACTGGGTAACACATCTAAAGACCCCCTGGCCAACCAGGCAATGTAACAACCCAACCTCTGTGGTTCCCTAGGCTCAAACCCTCAAGGCCTATGGGGAGGCATGATGTGCCAACTTGGGAGCTTTTGGGGGAGCTGCCTCGGGCCAGCTCTCCAAGGTTTTGGGTGTGTGTGAAAATGGCTCATGCAGATACCCAAATCTGAGATGCCTAGTTTGCATATTATGCAAATCTATCCATTAAGCAACTTGACATAATTTGAATATAATGCAGGAGTGCATTATGTGCAAATGATACACATTTATTACTACACTGCTTTTCTGCCACTCTTGGTGACATTTACCTCCTAAGCACCCCCCCCCCATTTCCATAGTTCTGCTACTTTCTACTTATTGTTTGCTGTCGACTCTATCAAATGCACCCCACCTGTCTGCAAAGAGGACAGGGTGTTGCAACACTGTAATATTTCCCCAGGAACTGAGAGGCACTGACTCACTATGGCGTCCTTGACTGAAGGTTTCAATCAAACTGCTCCATGGCTTTGTGCTTTGAGGAAATATATTCCAAGACAGTAAATAGGGAGCTTATTTCTCTCACAGGTGAAAAGGAAAAGAACAATGATTTTTGCCTTCTATCTCCATTTCCATAATGATTAAAGACTTTTGTTGTTGTTGTTAAAATTAAAGTTGGAAATCCAGGCCAGTTAATGGCCTACAAGAGAACTGGCCAGCCCTCCAAGGTTTGTGGGAGGTGAAAATGGCTCATAGACCCTCAGAATATGGCCATCTCTGTCACCAAGGAATCCCTGACAAGCTTTCTTGGGGGGCAGTGTGTGTGTGGAACTGAGTGTGGCTTTAAGTAAACTTCCTCTAATTACACAGCAGATAAAATGGTCCAGGCAAGAACCTACAGAGCAGATTGAGCTACAAATCTCCCTCAGTAGACCACCCCATTTTTGTTAGTTTACCTCAATTGGCACTTATTGTCTCAATGCATTCACTCAGAGACTCTGGTAATGAGAAAGAAAAAATGTTTTGGTTTATTTACAGTTCTTTGGAGATAAAAACCAAACATTATATTGTTTAAAAATGTTAGCTTGTTACATCACTGAGCGTAACCGGCTAATTAGTTTCATTACTGACTAACTGACTAGTTATATAGTTGACAGAATACATCACTCAAACAAACAACTTCTGACTCCATTGCTAAAGCTCTAAATGAACCCAGAGAGAAAAAAAGGTAGAGAAAAGAATCTGAGGTAGAGAGGGAACTATTGGCTGATACTGAGTCTATTGACAGCAGCCCCAGTCCAAAAAGGTCCCTCTCAGCTAAAACATCTCAAAGGCATCATGTGCAGGTTGCAATATAACCAATAAGCTCGTGAGGATTCTGGAGTGCTTTGGAACCCTGTTTGAAACCTACAGGTCTGGAGTTTTTTCAGAAAAGCTTTGAAAACATAAGCAGCAATCATATGTGCCAGCAGTATAAAAATTAATTCAAAGGCTTTGCTTTCCTGCCAAAGTAAATGTAAACCCACCTGGTGTTCATTTGGAATTAGGGACCACTTTTTGTCTGCTTGCCAAGATCTTGCTTTGTTGCGCTAAGCCAAGTGGTCAGCTGGCATCTCTGAGTTCTGCATCCCTAGGGGTTGACCTCCTCCTTCCCCACACCCTGATTTAAAATAATGTTGCTGTCTTGGCAAGCCAGGCCACAAACTCACAGTGCTACAGAATTCAGAATGTATTCCAGGTGGGTTTGCTTATATGTTGGGGCTTTTTTTTTTTGGTCATTATTTGGTATGAGCCTATAGCTTTTGAACTATTTTTATAATGCAAAACATTGTTTCTTATGTTTCAACCATTTCTTCAAAAGGTTTATTGTGAAGGACTGGGGAAGATTTAGACGTGATTTCTCTCTGTTTCTGAAATATAGCAGTTCAAAATTGGCCTTCTGAAGGTCTCCATCTGACTTGTGGGCAAAGAAATTATGAAGGGGGGA